CGGCTTCTTGCTGCCCCCATTGGCCCGGGACAGCGAACCGCGGCCAGTGGGGGCCACGATCGGCCAAACCTGCCGCGTCAGCAGGTAAATAAACTGGCCTGGCCCGGCCCGCCAGGGTGCTTACCCTGGCGAGCCGCGTGCCAAAAGTTGCCGACCCCTGATTTAGACTTTAAGTTGGACTTTTAGTTATTTTGGATGGGGAATGAAATGTTATATGACTTAGCCGGAGGGCCAAGCCACAGAAGACCCAGAGAGAGGGTGGGGAGAAGATAATGGGCAGGGACTGGCCATCGCAGCCAAGGAAGTGGCCACCAGGGGCAGACAAGAGGCAAAGTCCTCTGCAATGCTCAGTCCAGGCATGAGAGGGCACTCCAGAAGTGGGGATCTGCACTACAAACCTGTTTCTCCTACTTGATCCAGGGAACTCTGTAACAACTTGCCATGCTGAAAAGCAATATGAATATGGATCAATCCTCCTTGCTCTCATGTTCAGGAGCTTGAATGAGGTAACATGAACCTGACAGAACATGCACTGGAGATGTAACTGATGGGGCATGTTAACTTGTTCCAATAATCTGTCATTGTAGAAAATCAATACCATTAAACCGCAAAGTTTTTGAATTTGAAGAAATGTTCTGGCTTTTAACTGGGAATTACTGGTGCATTATTTCACCTGATTTTTTTTTTAAATGATAGCCAATGGAACAATGTTAACTCCACATAAAATTAGAAATACCAGGCCAGACCCTCAGCCCAGGGGAAGTCTCCTTTGCATTGATCCAACAATGCTAAAAAGACTGAAAGCTACTCTAAAGAAACACAGGGGAACTGGGGATTCTCCTGACAGGGGAATCCCCCTGCTAGCATGAAGATTATTGGAGCACTCTAGGTGGAGCCAGAGTACCCTGCACTATGGGCAGACCTGTCCCTAGCGAACCATTCCAGTTAATGTAAGGTAGAATAGCCCTGTGGCTGCTTGGGCCCCTGGCTGGTCCTATGATTAGAGGAGGTCGAAAACTGACTTACAGCCACCTTCGCCTTCTCCTTGTCAGCTGCACAATTTGAGCTTTGGAACTTGAGGATCAGGCCCCATGCTCATTTATGTATATGATTTGCAAATATAGATTCTTTTCCACCCAGCCTTTAAAAACCAATTAAATACAGCTACAGTTTTTTCATCCAGTATGTTCTATTTACTTATGTATCAAGACATAGAAATATACAAATTATCTACTATTGCGCTGGCCAATATGGTCTCATTATTTTCCTCACAACCCCGTTTACTGTCTGTACCCATCTGTTGCCTCTTGTCCTAGATAGTAAACGTCTTGGGGCAGGAGCCATTTTTAATTCTATTTGTACAGTGCCTAGCACAATGGGATCCTGATCCATTACTAGGGCTTCTAGCCAATATTATAAATAAATAATAATACTACATTATGTCCTAGGTGCTTTGAATATAACCCATAGTAATTTGAGGTTTATGTACAAACAGGTTCTAAAGGGAGAGTATGGCTTTGAGTGTGGAAAGATCTTTTTATTTCCATCTTTCTTCATTGTCCTTCCTTTACAGAACTTGCATGTTTTAAATCAGAGCTTCAACTCTATTGATGATTCTATTAATCTTTTTCCATCCAGCCCTTAAAAACAAGTCATGGTCAAAACCTCACAATCCTTTATAGATGCAAGACACTGTGTTTGTGTAATACAACCTTGTTTTGGATGCTTAGCGGGAGTTGCTGGAGCCTGGTGGAAAGTGTGTGAGAGAAAAAATAGGAGCTGGGGAGTAATGATTTTTTTTTTTCTATTTCTCTCCCTCCTTCCCTACCACCTTCCAAATTGCAGTGATTATGCTTTGGGCAGTCATGAGAGTCTTCGCAAGGCAACCGCCTCCATTCAGCTTCGTCTACAGAAAGGCAACAGCTATCAGCAAAGTTTGGCTAGAACGGTGTGTCATTTTTTTTTCTCGTTTTTTTTAATATGCCTAAGGAAGTGAAATCTCTCCAATCCTTTCATGTAACCATCTGCATTGATAATCAGAAAGGGCTTGTTTGCTTTCTTGAGTGTACTTTCAAATGTGGTTCATCATTAATGTAACATATTCAGAGTCTTTCTGCTTCTCTCCTCTATTAGGCTTTCTTTATCCTTTTGGTAATCCTAGAGAATACCTGAACATGAGAAGAGCAAATGTTACCTTTGTTAGAAGAATTCAACTTTATTGGAGTTGAACTATAGTCATGATATCAGTTTGTCACTTTTTTTTTTTCTGGCTGGTCCTTGTCCATTTTTGAAACATATTAAGGGTAAAAATCCATCACAAGATAAATCAGATCCAGATCCTGGTTACTGAAATTCTAAGTATTTGATTGTGTGTGCGTGAGAGAAAGAGAATGTATTTCTGCTGAAGAAATAGTCTTATCGCACTTTAAATCTGAAGAGATTCTCATTCAGATTATTTGTGATTCAACTACCTAGGAATGGATTATTGAGCTTTAATGATACTGATCCAGGCTGCTAGATGTGAATTTTATTCCCTGTGGGAAATCTTGAATTCCTTCCAAACCAAACTTCACACTACAAAGGAGACCTTGATGTTTTAGGTGATTTTGACTGGAGATGGGTTGCCTTTATCCACAGATAGGATATCTGCCTAAAGGAGGTAATTGGAACTACTGGCCCAAATCTGTGAAAATTTGGATCAGACAACAGATTTCTAATATAAAAAATAGGGTTTCTTTTCTTTCCAGTTCTGATATGTGTCCCCTCTAAGATTTGTCAGGTTCTGTGTAATTCATCAGTTGCAATATTAAAAAAAAAAAAAAAGAAGAAGCTGTGAAGCCAAATATGATATGTTTTAAAATATCTTTTCTTTTGACTTCTTTACCTTTTAACAAATAAAAGCACAGGAGACAATGCTATCATGTACAGCAGTGGTTCAAATTATTTACACTTTGCATTACCAGGCTATGCAAAAGTTGTTGATTTTTTTTTTTTTTTTTTTGCAAGCAATTGAAAATACTGTATCTGTAATTGAGATTCCATTCGTAGCAGAAGGACTGATGGTTCAGGAGACAGGAAATATATGATAGAGAGGCTTTCATCACCAAGTCACCATTTAAAATTTGGCTCAGATCAGTGGTGACCAAAAATAATTACCATCTCACTGATGCCAGGTGATCTGTAGAAGATGAATTGATGGTTTGTGAAGCTTTTATGGAGTGGGGTAAGCAGCGCACACACACACACACGCAATCCCTTCTGCTGTGCTGTAGCAGATGTCCAGGGTCTTGCAGTTTGGCTTCCTGTTGTAGGAGGAATCAGTGACACCGAGTCAGGGTATATTTAGAGCAGATTGCTTTATTTATACCTACACACCAGTTCTGGGACAGAGGTGGTCAAAAATATCATGCAGACAGTTCCTTCTTTCAGAGATCTCAGCTCAATCACCAATGCCTGGCTCCCACGAAGCTACCCTGCCCCAAGAACTGACTCTGTTTAAAAAGACTAAGGGTATGTCTACACTACCCCCCGGATCAGCGGGCAGCGATCGATCCAGCGGGGATCGATTTATCGCGCCTAGTCTAGACGTGATAAATTGACCCCCGAGCACTCTCCCGTCGACTCCTGTACTCCAGTGCCGCGAAAGGCGCAGGCAGAGTTCATGGCGGAGCAGCAGCAGTCGACTCACCGCAGTGAAGACACCACGGTAAGTCAATCTAAGTACATCGACTTCAGCTACGTTATTCATGTAGCTGAAGTTGCGTAACTTAGATCCATCTCCCCCCGTAGTGTAGACAAGGGCTCCAACATAGAGCAAACTTCCTTGGACTAGCCATAGCTCCCCAAGAGAATCTACTTTACAAACCTAACAATATATTTTCTTCCAAGGCTAAAAACATGTTTGCACACTAATAAAAAGAAAAACGTGTAAGACTCTATGTAAGAGCACCATCTAGTGCTCCTGCTATAACAATACTTACCTATTGCACTGAAGATTAGAGACTTAAGTCACTTTTCTAAAGTGCTCTGGGATCCTGAATTATAGTGAGCTGCCTGGAAAGAAGGTAGGCGTGGAAAGTTTTATCTGTCATTTTAAAGCCACTAGGTAATTAAATATTGCCCTTTGAAATAAATAGTAGCATAGTCATGGAGTTGCAGAAGTGAAGGTTATGTGTAATCTGATGCAAGTTATTCAGAAATACACTGCACGTGTGACTCTTATTCCTTAATTACAAAATTGGCAATCATAGAAATGAAATTGTTGACTAAAAATTCCAAATCGTTCTAGTGAAAAATCCACTGGCCTTCCCACCTTGATTCATTTAAATGTCAACAGAGAGGGAAATGGTTCCAGAGGATATCTTCCTTAGGAAAATACAAAGAAGGGTGATAGTGTTTTTTGTAGATATGGGATAACACTTGGACAGCATGACCACTTGCCCAGTACTGCTTACATACAGGTAGGCATATGGCAATACCAAATCTGTCCCCAGCCACCACTTACCTATTCATTTCCAACTGACATATCAGTCTAAATGCAGAATTGTACCTACAGCTTATGGCTCATAAATGTATTTCTTGAGGGCTACACTTCATATGGTGACAGGCAGATTCTTCTTCTCATTTTTCAGGTCTTTAACTCGTTCCTAGGTGCCCAAGCCTAGATGCCCAGCTGAGTTAGTGATCATATTGTGTGTTCAGCAGGTTGTCTTTGAGAGGTGATGGGAACAGTGCACTGCAAGTAGGAGGGTGCAACAGATCCAGCATTGTGCGTTCATATTTCACATTGTTAGCTAATCATTTGCAGTCCAGAGATGTTGTGACATTAGACTCCTCAGACCAAATTCACAGCTAATATAACTGCATGCAACTCCAGGGATAAATTTGCTCTATTTTGTTTACCTTGCAATAAATAGGTGCTCTGATATCCCATAATTTTAGTAGTAACCACTTGAGGGAAAGAGTTTAGATTCATATTGAGGCCTATGTCATAATACAGGAAGAAGATCCTTCTACCCATGTTCTGAAGATTCATGCATCTGGTGAAGAGCTCTTAAAAATCAGTTCTCCCCCCCCCCCCCCCCACCAACCCCCAAGCTTTATCAAGCCTATTTAAGTGAAACGAAGCCAATAAGACACACAGACAAGCAGGAAGTCTTAAGAGCAGCAGACAGAGGAAAAGGAAAGTTTGGTTAGCACAATGAGAAGTGAGTATGCGTGAGTGTGATCTGACAAGTTTATTTGTAAAACAAGGATGTTATAATCCCTCAGAGGGCCAGTAATAATATTCAAAATTGTTTAGTAAATGCAGCCAGAGACTTTTCTTTTTGTAAAGGTGCATTTTTTTCCTTGCTGGTATTCTATTATGTATTCAGAAGGAAAGAGGAAATTGTCTTGAGCCAAGGAGTGAAAAGGCAAGAAATGTGGCCTCAGATTTTCACTGGAAATCATAGGGTTTTTTTCAGCCAGTGGATGACCTTTAATTTGGTTTTGTTTTTTGAGAAATTAGTTTTATCAGGCACAAGTCTCTTGAACGAAAGCCTTTAGTACCTGAATTTTCTAGATGTTAGATTCTCATTAGACTTCCAAATAAAGCCTGTGTAAAGACCACGGAGTTAACGATTATGCTGTAAAAATATTGAGGCCTAATTATATTGCCTCACAGGACAAAAATTCCCATTGACGTCAGTGGGAATTTTGCATGTGAAATAGCAACAAATTCATCATCTTGTAGTGTATGCTACACTTTGAGATCTTGAGAATAGCAAATATTTTATGTGGGTGGGGAAGGTACAGTATTTTCCTCACAAAATGATGAACCAATTTAGAATAGTGGTAAAATACTCCAGGGGATGGGATGCTGTATTTGTTCTTTGATCTTGTGTTTCACAACTGCCATATTATGTATACAACTTAGGATATTAAAAAGTATCGTTTGAGCAGTGGCTCCAAAATGCATCCACGTAAACTGTAATGGATGAAAAACTTACCCCTTGTTGGGGTTTGGTTTTATTTATGTAAAGATCTCCGAATGAGACAGGACAAAATCTAGTCCAAGCCTCCACCACAAGTTTAGTTGCCTTCGGAGTTCCTCTCTGAGGAGTGCTCAGCCCACACCTGCTATTCCCTCTCTCTAGCAAGCCCTTCCAATGTACCTAGTATCGGGGGGGGGGGGGGGGGGGGGACGGGGACGGAGTCCAGCAGGATCGAATCCTCACCTGCTATATAGGGATTTTCAGGCAAATGCTACCAACCCTGGAGATCAGTTTTGCTAAAGTGGAATGTACCAGCATCAATGCTGATAACATTGTAGTAGAAGTGTTATGTTAATGCATGTGTAGTTACAATAAACATGTTAACACATTGAGAAAAATGAAGTCATTGGTACTTGATGGTAAGAGATGCATTTTTTGTTTCCTAAAATATTTTTTGCGTGTTTAAGAAACTTTTAGTGATCTAATGATATGGAAGTATTTTCCTATGTTGAATCAGCCCTCATCCTGCAGCAGAGCAAAAATCTTTGTCCCATTAATATGCAAAAGCCTGCTCCTTTGCTGTTCTAATTTGACAGGTCTAAATTAGGCTTAATATACTGCAGTGCACTACGTAGACCAAGAACACAGTAAGTGCAGCTCTTGGCATTTAACACTGCAGAAATAGTTACAACTACCAGGTAGAATTATTACTAACAAACAAAGTAATTTTTAAGCTTTGATATTTTAAGCAGTTAATAACAGTCTTGGAAGATAAATTAGTAGTGATCAGGATGTTAGAAAATATTTGTTGTCTCAAGGCATTCGCTAAACTATCAATAATGTACAGTAGGGAGTCACCAGATAGGCTCACTTTTTACAATACATTGAAGTAAATTATTGATCCGCACTTGATAACTGACATGAATGTGAGAGCTCCAGGCCTCAGTTACTAATAGCAGCTGAGAACATTAATAGCTGTAGAGCTAGCATAAGTCACAGAACCAAAGGTCTCCTCCAGCCCTAGGGAATCCTTGCAACAATGGACTCACATAAGAAAAGAATGGGTTCTGCTTGCAGGCAGAAATGTTAACCAGTGCAGCAGGCCCAGAGGAAGCTATAATTAAACAGACACAGGCTTACTGTATTGCATGCTATTAAGCTTCTTCTCGTATGACCCAATCTAGTGGTGAGTTGGGCCCTTCCTCAGACATACTGCGCGACCTCATATCTAGGGCCTCACCAAATTCATGCACATTTTGGTCAATTTCATGGACATAGGATTTTAAAAATCGTAAATTTCACAATTTCAGCTATTTAACCATGACATTTTACGGTGTTGTCACTGTAGAGGTCCTGATCCAAAAAGGAGTTTTTTTTGTGGGGGTTGCTGTACTGCTACCCTTACTTCTGCACTGCTGCTGGCGGCAATGCTGCCTTCAGAGCTGGGCAACTGCCGGCCAGGAGCTCAGCTCTGAAGGCAGAGCCACCACCAGCAGCAGCGCAGAAGTGAGGATGACATGGTGTTGTATTGCCACCTTTGCTTCTGGCCTGCTGCCTTCAGAGCTGGGTGGCCGGAGAATGGTGGCTGCTGACTGAGGGCCCAGCTCTGCAGGCTGCAGCGCAGAAGTAAGGGTGGCAATACCATACCAAGCCATCCTTACTTCTGCACTGCTGCTGGTTGCAGCTCTGCCTTCAGAGCTGAGCTCCTGGCCAGCAGCTGCTGCTCTCCAGCTGCCCAGCTCTGAAGGCAGCGTTGCCACCAGCAGCAGTGCAGAAGTAAGGGTAGGAGTACTGCAACCCCCCCTACAATAATCTTGCGACTCCCTCCCCCACAACTCCATTTTGGGTCAGGACCCTACAATTACAACATTGTGAAACTTCAGATTTAAATAGCTAAATTCATGAAATTTACAATTTTTAAAATCCTATGTCTATGAAATTGACCAAAATGGACCATGAATTTGCTAGGGACCTACCTATGTAACGTGTTTTGAATGCCAGGGTCACAGTGGTATGCCCATGGTTGGACTGCCACTTTTGGTCCCAGAGAACCAGCACGGTGTGGTGGGACCACATCATATTGGAAACCTGAAATGATGACCAATGGCTGCAGAAATTCACAACGAGGAAGGATCTTCCTCGAGTTAGGCAAGAAGCTTGCACGCCCCTCAATTTCAGAAACCCGTACCAGTACAGAAGTGGGTGTCTATTGCCCTTTGGAAGCTGGCAACACCTGACTGCTACCAATCAGTTGCCAACCAGTTTGGGGTTTGGAAATCAACTGACGGGGTGGTGGTTGTACAGGTTTACCAGGCTATTAGAACTGAGATCCACCCACAGGTGGTTGCCATTACCTAAGTCCTTGAAATTATATTGGGTTTTCTGAACTGTGCAGGGGTCATTGATGGAACGCACTTCCGTATACTTTGCCCTCTGAAAGGGGCCAGTAAACGCATGAACCACAAAGGCTACTATTCACTGGTTCTCCAAGGCTTAGAGGACCGTAGGGGTCAGTTCATGAACACAAATGTTAGGCATACAAGAAAGGTCCATGATGTCAGAGTGCTCAGGAGACCGAGGTTGTGCTGCAGAGGGAAATAAGGGAATTTATTCCCCCCAAAATGAGGTGAGACTATACAGTGTTTTTGTGCCAACACTGATTTTAGGGGACCCTGCATATCTGCTCATACTGTGGCTCATGGAGCCTTACCCCAAAACTGCCAACCCAAGATAAAGGGAATTCAACTACAGGCTGAGTAGCTGCAGAATGGTGGTGGAGTGCATCTTTGAGCATTTGAAAGCACATTGGTGAAGCCCCCGGACCCATCTGGATGCCAACATGGTTCTGATTATTGTGGCATGCTATGCTTTACATAACTTATGTGAGGCTAAAGGGGACTACTTTGAGTGAACAGAGGACACAACTGCTTTCCAAAGTGTGTATAGGCAACCTGATTTCAACCATGTGCACGCTGCTCCTGGTTCCCAGCAGGCCTGGGAAATTTGTGGTGCTAGAAGCTTGCATATAATGGAACAGAGGGGAGCCAGAAGGTGAATTGGGATTGTGCCACAGTCTATTGTGCTGAGGTCAGAATCGTAATGCTGTGATGCTGCTTGACAAGCTCAGTAGAGCATTTCCATGTACTTCTATTGCGAGATACCTCAGTGGGTTTTGATCCCCTGCAGTTAACAAGGTAAGGATGGACCCTCATTGTTAACACCTTTGGTTGTGGTTTTGTGCGGTGGAGACTGTTAACGCACTTTAATGCCATCATTGAGCAATGTTTTTGTTTCATGTTAACTGCTCCGTTTTGGGTTGGTTTGTTGGCGGGGGTGGGGGAGAGGGGAGGAGCTTTACGCATTGGTACAGTAATTATACAGGTTTTGGGAGGGACTTACACATTCCTTCTTTACAATTCTGTCTGATACCATATCTTCGAGCTCTTATCAAGTGCTATGCATGATTGCTCACATGGCACGACTACTCCCATGTTTGCCAGTGATAACTGTTTGGTTGGGGAGCCATTAAAGGGTGTCAGGTATCTTCACTGTTACTTTTGTTTCTTTTGTATTCTTGCTTAATTATCATCAAAGACATAAAGATGTTTCAATTAACTTGCCTCCTGATTTCCATTGTGGTACTGTGGACAGCAACAGTTATTTCACAGCATACTTCAGGGCCTTATAGTCAGCAGAGATCTGGACTCAGCAGTGAGTCAGAGCTGTCTGTGCAGAACACAGACAATGGCTGCTTGCTGGCTGCATGTTGGGAACTACCTTGCTTGAAAGGCAGAGATTCAAGAATTCAAGCATCAAAGGAAGGTGGGAGGCCATTCATGGGGCTGGAAGAAAGAGTACCTCTGATGGGTGGTGGGGTGGCCTGATCAGCAGACTGTGTCCAGGTAAAGATGGTGGGGAAAAGTCTCTCTCTAGGGAGGTTGCAAAAGTATGGTGGATTTTGACCCTGTTTATCAGTAAATATGGCTCCCATCCCATATGTCACCCATATGACTATGATCCCCAATGTATTCCCTAAAAGGAGGAGGAAGCAGATGGTGGGTGGGTGTGGGTGGGGGGGTGGGAGCGTGAAATGTCTTCTACTTGGTGTAGCATGCGGGAGTGGCTTTTCCTGGGAGAATGTCTTCTCCCTATACTGCAGGTTGAGGATACGGGCTTGGATTTCTCCTCTGTCAAATAGGCAAGAACCGGGAGTAACCAAAATATAATCTTAATGTGAAAGATGGGCACCAAACACAATTTCAGATTGAAATATCCTGAAGCTTGGGTGTGCTTGAAATCTATGACAAGCTAGGAATTTTTTCAAGTGGCTCCTATTTTTTTTTAAACTCATGCAAGAAACCATAACCTTGACCCAAACTCTTCCTCAATCTGGGGGTGTTAAAAATCCAGGACTGGATTGGAATGTTCTGGCCTCAGCCCTTCTCTGTTTGCAATCAAGTCTTTATTTGAAAATGCTCAAAAATGATGAGGATTTTACTCAAGATGAGCTTCTTACTTTCCAAGGTCAGATTGGTGGTATGACCAGCTTCAAAAGTTTATCTAAGGGCTCAAGAACATGTAGGCAAGGAGAGGAAGGTTTTCATCAGTCTTCAGTATTGGGCCAAAAATAATGAAAGAACATACTGACATTATGAAGCACCAAACAAATTTGTACCATTTAGTTGCTTCATATCAGCAATTATATAACTCTTTATATGTTTTTTTCTGTACAGCTTGAAGATGACCAAAGTCAGTTTAATGTGAACCAGCTGCTACAATATACATATATTTGGAAGGTGTCCAGGTAAGAATGTTAGTAGCTGCGCTTAATAACCGTATATATTTGCCATCAGCACCTAGATGCCTTGGGGCTGTGATTTCATCAACACTTATAAGCTAAGCAGAGCCAGGCTTTGGTTTGTACATGGATGGGAGAACTACCAAGATAACATAGGGTGCAGCATGAACCATTGCTGGCCTTTCAATAAATGCCACTTCTTCCAATGAGTCAGTATTGAGCCAATGTTGCATCACTTTGTTAGTGGTCATGATGCTATTGGGGGTGCTTCTGACAGTAATTACTGAAGTCAGTAGATACTGATCTTTGTCATGTGACAGAAACCCTGAGCCAGGCCATGTGACTGGACCAACAATTAAAGCATTTCTGTGCATCAGATTCTTATCACAGTACTGTCTTAGAGATGAAAAGAGAAGCTGATGTCTTGTGCTCTTCTGTTCATTAGAAGTCATGCAGAGCCAGGTTGTTTTAACCCTTGTGCTCTGGCTAAATTCTGTCTAAGGTTGGAGATTGCAGCAAGTGAAGTAAAATGAGCTCAACAGGTTTTTTTTCCCCCCCCCCCCCTTCTGTCCTCACTGGTTGTTTGGCAGAATGGTCTGCTTTATTGAACTATATTTTCTCCCTGTCCCTTAATGTTGAGCATGTATGTGACATTTTCATGATAGATTCTATCATAAATAAAAGAAAAACTGTATTTTCTCCAGTTTGCAATAAAATGGCTTTCTGTGTACCTTATAATTTCAGTATAGTTGGCTATAGTGCTCTCTGCCATCTATAGCATTTTTTACAAGCACAATGAGTGTTAACTGTGTAGTTAAACCCTGTTACACCTAGCTTTGTTAAAATAGCAACTCACTACAAATCCATGAGAATGGTGTTATGTAGAGAAAAATTATCATCATACGGCATTTATAGCAGTGTTTGGCTCTTAAAATTCTCTCTTTATGAACAGGAGAACTTGAAAATTACAGCTGGGAGGAAAACATTCGTCTTCCCCCCCCCCACACACTTTTCCAAAGTTCCCTGGATTGAAGGAGCTGTAATTTTCTCGTGCTGCTGCTCATAAAGAGAGACTTTTCAGAGCCAGATACCAATATAAATACTCTGGTAATGGCTTCACTCTTCATAACATAGTTTTTGTAACCAGGTGCTATTTTAACAAGGGTAGTTATAATAGGGTTCGACATAGCTCTAGGGCTGATGTGTCAAGGACACCCAGATCTCTCATAGAAGATTAGGGTTGAAAGAGACTACAGGAGTCATCTAGTCCAACCCCCTGCTCAAAGCAGGACCAACCCCAACTAAATCATCCCTGCCAGACCTTTGTCAAGCCGGGCCTTAAAACCTCTAAGGATGGAGATTCCACCAGCTCCCTAGGTAACCCATTTCAGTGCTTCACCACCCTCCTAGTGAAATAGTTTTTCCTAATATTCAACCTAGACCTCTCCCACTGCAACTTGAGACCATTGCCCCTTGTTCTGTCATCTGCCACCACTGAGAACAGCCTAGCTCCATCCTCTTTGGAACCCCTCTTCAGGTATTTGAAGGCTGCTATCAAATCCCCCCTCACTCTTCTCTTCTGCAGACTAAATAAGCCCAGTTCCCTCAGGCGCTCCTCATAAATTATGTGCCCCAACTCCCTAATTAGTTTTGTTGCCCATCGCTGGACTCTCTCCAAGTTGTTCACATCCTTTCTGTAGTGGGGGACCCAAAACTGGATGCAATACTCCAGACGTGGCCTCACCATTGTTGAATAGAGGGGAATAATCACTTCCCTCGATCTGCTGGCAATGCTCCTACTAACGCAGCCCAATATGCCGTTAGCCTTCTTGGCAACAAGGGCACACTGCTGACTCATATCCAGCTTCTCATCCACTGTAATCCCCAGGTCCTTTTCTGCAGAACTGCTGCTTAGCCAGCAGGTCCCCAGCCTGTAGCAGTGCATGGGATTCTTCCATCCTAAGTGCAGAACTCTGCACTTGTCCTTGTTGAACCTCATCAGATTTCTTTTGGCCCAATCCTCCAATTTCTCTAGGTCACTCTGGACCCTATCCCTACCCTCCAGCGTAACTACCTCGCCCCCCCATCTTAGTGTCATCCGCGAACTTGCTGAGGATGCAATCCATCCCATCACCCATCAATGAAGATGTTGAACAAAACTGGCCCCAGGACCATCCCCTGGGGCACTCCGCTTGATACCGGCTGCCAACTAGACATTGAGCTGTTGATCAGTACCCCATTGAGCCCGATGATCTAGCCAGCTTTCTATCCACCTTGTAGTCCATTCACCCAATCCATACTTTTTTTAACTTGCCGGCAAGAATACTGTGGGAGACTGTATCAAAAGCTTTTCTAAAATCAAGATATATCACATCCACTGCTTTCGCCATATCCACAGAGCTAACTCTCCCTCCACTTTCACTGAGCAACTTTTGAAGGAGTGAGGAATATTTAGCTCTTATATAATAATAGTTAAATCTGGTAGTGTTTTTCATCCATAGAGCTCAAAGTGCTTTATAAAGGAAGTTAAATATCACATTTCCCATTTTACAGATGGGAAAATGAGGCACAGAGAGGTGAGGTGACTTGCTCAAGGTCACTTTGAACTATATGGGATGTTTTCAAAGATCTATTTAGTTTCTTACAAACACAAAGCACTTCATAAAAAACAAAACTCCTGTTTACTGTTTGCTTCTCTTTCCCCTCCTGTATTTTTCCTGGACTGGCTCTTAACCCACTCATTAATAAACAGAGGTTTCCTTTCCTGCTGCCTATGCCAGAAGGAGATTTAGCAGTGACCTTTTTATGCTATGTGTTCACTGCAGAGTTAATTGGAGTGTAGCTAACTCCTCTTGAGTTAAGCTCATGTGAGAGTGGCCACACTGCAAGCATACAATCTGCACAGGATAATTGTCTCAGTAGCTGAGGAGTTGCACTTATTCAGCATGTAGCCTCTACCACCTCTAAGGCCATCCAACTCGAAATGAAAGCACTAACACAATTGAGTTAAAAGATTTTGTGTGTGGATGGGACTTGAGTTGGGGGCAACACTTGAGTTATAACTGGAGGTAACTCTGCAGTGAAGACTTGACTTGTAATGTGATTTATTTCCAAGATGCCCTCCTTTGCTATTCTTAATAGCAATTTCTGTGTGGGCAGCCCCATCATAATGAAATGCCACAGTGTGATATTTGTGTCATGATATGGCAGAATGAAACAACATTTTTGTCCCAGGAGCCAAATTAGTTAAGATGGTCACCCTCTACCTACCTCCCATGGAGAATAATGAACACATGACTTCTTTAGCTGCTATCAGCTGGCCTGGGATGAAGTGATGAGAATGAACTGATATCTTACCCTTGCAAATCAGCAGATTGCTCTTATAGGCCAGTGGGTAGCTAATGAAACAGATCAGTATATCCACTGGTAGGTCTATGCCTACATCCCTCACTATAATGAACACCGAGAGTGAAATTCAAACTTGGTGTAAATCCCTGGACATCAGTGGAATTGTATTCACTTACACCAGGGCTAATTTTTGCCCATATTTCTCAACATCACATGCTGGTTAACCTGATGGGTGTAGTTAGATACAGTTTTTTATTAGCATATTAATAAATGGCCTTTTGGAAAGGAAATTTGGCAGCACTCCACAAGAAGTTCAGCTGTCAGGAAATTAAAAAATGGAATGCTGTACTGTATGTAGTATATTATTCTGCATTATCATGTACAAGTTTGAATAGAAATCAACATCTGAGAGTGGTTCTCACATTTTGCTGCCTTATGTTGCAAAACTGTTGTTGTATATTACCTGATGTGCTAATGTCATTGGATCCCTGGATATACGTTGGTTCTAACATGATATATACGTGAGCAAAATAAATTACAGGATCGAGGCAGGAGCAGACTCAGGGGATAGAGATCTACACTAGGTTAATGTGGGTTACATCAGTTTCCCAAGTCCAGACTGAATGGAGTAGAAAAGTAAAGCTACAACATAAATGTTAGAAAGTAAGGGAAATAATTGAAACTGAAATAATTTGAAAAAATTAAATGTGTAAATATTAGAAATATAAGTAATTATTGAAATTTATTATTTCAACACTGTCTCTTTTTAAAAATGTACTTTTCTACCTGATGATCTGGTTCAGAGTTTATAAAATTCAGAATTATTTCGAGTTGTTTTGCAGACATAGGGCTTGATTATCCATAGATTTCCACCCTATTTTGTGACCTAGACAGCAAAGCACTTAAGTCCATCTCTACTCAAAAAAGCATTTAAGCACACACTTAACTTTAAACACACACAGTCAATGGGACTTAAGCAACTGCCTAAAGCTAAGTATATGCTTAAGTGGCTTGCAGAATTGGGGACTTACGTTTGCACAAAGTAGATTTAAAATGCTACCATTCCAATCTGGTGGCATTTTATACCTACTTTTTAGAAGGGTAAGTGACTACATAAGGGTAGTGAAGTGTCAGGTCCAATAGTCTTTGAAATCTACATAAGCACTTGTCTTGACTCTGAATTCATATTTACACCAATGTAAAATCACCATGGCCAATGAAGTTATTCCTGATTTATAGTGTGAGGTAAAAATAATGCCCACTTTCTTTTTCTACCTACCATTAACTGAATGTTGATTTATTTATTTTTTAATTTCCAGGAAGAACCTTGTTACATTTATTATGAAATATGGAGGTCAAGTGGAATATCTATTGCAAAATGAGGTATTTGTTCTCCGCCTGTTTTGCCAGAAAAGCATTAGCTTACTTGTGAAAAGTCTCTAATTATTAGATTAACCTGCCTGAAACTGAATTAAAGAGGACTCTTAATTAAAGCTGTTTAACCTGTTTTGGAAAGGGTATGGAAATTTTAAACTAAAATTAATGACATCTAAATTATGATAAATGCTACAAGATTAAAACATTCATGGTAATGATTTCCTAGTGTTGGGGAACAACAAAAGGATCCAAGGCTCATTTTGAGTTAGCACCCAAATATTTGGATCTAGTTTTATTATAATCACTTGAGTCTGCAAAATTTGCCCCTTCCCCCAATTCTGCAAACACTTAAACATGTATTTCAGCGGTACTATCACATGCATAAAGTCAAGCATGAGTTTAAGAGTTTTCAGGATCAGGTTTAAACATAAAACTTGAGGGGGGTCCAATTGAACTGTAAATGCCACCAGAAAAGATTAATTTTACCCTTTCACTCCCAACCGTAGGCAGAATCGAACCCCAAAATGAAGATGAATGTTTAAATGACAGATAATCTGGGAGGGAATGAAGAAGACAAATAATAGGTTGAGCTGAGATTCTGGAGGTGGTGCAGACTCATCTTATTTTTGGTTAAACTAGTTCTTCCTTCTTTCATTTATGATTTGGGAAATGAAAGAAAGCACAAGACCTTGTTAGATCACAGAATATACTCATGCAGCAGCTTGGAGCTATTACAATTTGATGCAGTAGAGTTTAACTAGTTGTGTTAAAGTAAGGAATTCTCTTGCAAAATGTTATGCGCCAGAAAAAAACCCAAAACAAAAAAACACAACCAAACATCTCCATCCTGTTTCAGGGTACTAATCTCCCGCCACCCCAGATTTCACTTTTTCAAGATTTTTTTTGTGCAGTAGATATTTCCATTTTGAATTATGAAAAATTACCAAAAATTCCTGCAAAAAAATTTACCTTTTTTGTGAAAATCCTTGAGACTTTTCTTTTGCGGGACCCCATCATCTGTTCAGTTACAGCCTGGGCTGTGTTTTAGCGCAAGGGGATATGTACAATGCAGCCCCATAATGACATTCCAAGTCTTGGTGACCATGGGACATAGATCAGCAATTCAGGACCAAAACTACACAGCAATTTCAAACTAAGGCCCTGATCCTGAAAACACTTAGGCATTTGCTTAACTTAACACATATGAGCAGTATTCCTTTGAACTCAGTGGAACCACTTATGTTTGCGAAGTTAGGCACATGTCTAGGTGTTTACAGGACTGTGGTCTGAGACCCCAATACTGCAGCCTCTTAGACTTTTATTTATGTGAGAAGGTCCATTAAGCTCAGTTATACATGTGTGCTTGCAGTATTGGGACCAAAGCAAAAAAGGTTCTAAACTGGAAAGGAGCTGTGCAAAACATTAATCACACAATTAACTGCACTCCAAGCTACATATCCTGCAATATATACTGCATAGGCAAACCTCTGCACCTATATAAAATCCCTGGGACATCCCTTCACTTAAGATTTTTACCTGGAGCTCCTGGCAATCAAAGGCTAATCAAACCTAAAGACTCGTCTGGACATCACGCAATCATTTGTTGCTGTCTACAAATATTTGTAGTTTATCCTAGCGTAAACTCATGATACTTAAATTTTAGCATGAGTTAGTTAACAGATGTTAAAAATACACCCATTTTTTTGCAGTGTTGATATGGCCATAGAGTTTACCTCAGGATCAGGGCCTAAGTTTGTGCCTTGTTGAGTTCACAATCCTTTCCTGAACCTACAATGGTGTTGTCTTTATTCTTCACTGTATTGCACAGTTTTATGCCAGTTGTAACTCCACTGTAACACAGCAGAAAATTGAGATGTGTGTGACATTTTCCATGCACATAAAAACTATTATTATTAGAATTAATTGTTATGGTAGCTGTCCTGAAAAAGTTATGAAGTGGCCATGGAATCTGCCTGTTTAGCTTGCAGCAGTGTAGGAAGTTAGGAGGGTAAGTCCATCCGTGTTCAGTAGAGCACTTAACTTTAAGCCAGTGGGACTTAACCACATGCTTAATGTTAAGCAAGTACCTAAGTGCTTTGCTGAACTCAGATCTTAGTCTGTCCTCCAGCTCTGGTTTTAAGGTGGGAGATCTCCAGGTCCTTAGTAAATTTGTTGAATTCCTCCTGAATTTTAGGACATTTAGAACAAAAACCTCCCAAAATAGCTATAGAAAAATAAGTCTCTCTCTGTTCAGTCCATTAAGGCTAAATCAATGTGATATATCTATATCTGGAAAGGGAAGACTCTCCAGGTATTAAATGTCTGTCTGGAAAGAGAGATGATGAGAGAAAAATCTATCATCAGTCATATCTAGTTTAAAATATTTTTCATATCTGTGTCCTTTAAGGCAGTAAGATCCATGCCTTGGGAGTACCAAGTCCATAAACCATACCTAATTATAACATTTCTTGCTTCACACTTAACGGCACATTATATCATGGAAATGCAAACACTCTTCAAAACTTTCCAACGTGCCTTTTTATAGGAATCCACAATGTATTCTGAAAATGTTAAACAAGATATTTTTCCTCCACAGGAAGCATAGCCATCACCCTATTCATGGATTAGCCTTGTGTGTCTGCAATGATAATGTATTACTCTGAAAACTCCTGTGTGTGCGTGTGTCTGTAGAGATAAAGTCCCTTGTGTTACAAATCCATATCCACATGTGGAAAAGAAAAATAGTAATATTCTCCAGGTCCGTACAATAAAAAAGCCCACATAATCCTCTGGCTTTGTCATTGTTAAGGTGGTGACAAAGCTGTCCCATTTTAGCAGCTCCTGCCAGTATGGTTATGTGTACCCTGTACATACAGAGAGGAAAATCTGCAAGCATTTAATTTAAAAATCAACATGATGGGGGGAGGGGAAAGGAGGAAGAAAGGAAAATGCAATAATTTATAAAGGGACAGGTTAGAAAGTGATGGATCAATTTAAGACTGAAAGCTCCAAAGTTTATTAGAGAACACAAACAACCACAATCAATCTCCTTCCCCTTCAATCCTTCTTTTAAAAAATGTTTTTGTTTTATTTTTCAAAATTCTGTGAGTGTGCCTAATATATCCCTGCTCTAATTAAGTCAGTGGAGTTAGGATACAGTTATCCCAATATATTTATTTATTTCTATTAATGATAGATATTAACCTTCTTGTTACAGTTCAGTTACAGACCTTCAGCTTAGAAATAAAAAAGTTCATCTTAGGGGCAGTTTTTCTCTTTCAGTCATAGAAATGGATGAGTTACAAAAATAACTTTCTCAGCACATTAACACACTGTAGCTCACTGAAAGGAATGTTATCAGTGCCGAGACATAGAGAATATTTTAGGAGGAGAGTTTTTGCTTGCTCAGGGAATGTATTTCAGTCTTTAAGGTAGTCAGTAGTACAAATAAAGAAGGAATCCATGAAAATTATTTTAAATATTCTCCCCAATATAGAGTATGTAGTATTTACAGAGATCCCCTTTTAGATTCCTGGAGTCATAGAGTTTAAGGCCAGAAGGGATGACCCGATCATCTAGTCTGACTGCCTGAATATCACAGGCCACCAACACCACCCTGCACTAAAGCCAACAACCAATATTAGACCACCATATTACAGCCCACAGGAGACTAGACTGTTGTGTGCCACAGACAGAGAGTAGGAAGGAGCACCAGTGCCCGAAGCCCCAGCAATGGCAAGTAAATGACTACCTGAAATATACCCAGGTAATCCTGGCAAATGACCCGCACCACAAACTGCAGAGGACGGCAAAATAAACACCTACGGTCACTGCCTATCTGACCTGGTGGAAAATTCCTTCCCAGCCCCACATATGGTGATAAGTTAGATCCACAGCATGTGGGCAAGAACTAGGCAAACAAGCTCCTGAGAGAGAGACTGATGGCACCCAACCCCAGAGCCCTGCTCCCCCTTCAAGTGCCCCATCTCCAGCCATGGCCATCCCTGATGCTTCAGAGGAAGGACATAGACTCATAGACTTTAAGGTCAGAAGGGACCATTATGATCATCTAGTCTGACCTCCCGCATGATGCAGGCCACAAAAGCTGGCCCACCCACTCCTGGAATAATTCTCTCCCATGACTCAGCTGTTGAAGTCCCCAAATCATGATTTAAAGACTTCAAGTCGCAGAGAATCCTCCAGCAAGCGACCCCTGCCCCATGCTGCGGAGGAAGGCGAAAAACCTCCAGGGCCTCTGCCAATCTACCCTGGAGGAAAATTCCTTCCCGACCCCAGATATGGTGATCAGCTGAACCCCGAGCATGTGAGCAAGATTCTCCAGCGAGACCCTCCGGAAAAAAGTTCTCTGTAGTAACTTTTAATATCCCATCATTGACCATTGTTACTAATTACCAGCGATGGCACGTTATTGACCTATTGACTAAAATCACGTTATCCCATCAAACCATCCCCTCCATAAACTTATCAAGCTTAATCTTAAAGCCAGAGAGGTCTTTCGCCCCCACTGTTTCCCTCGGAAGGCTGTTCCAGAACTTCACCCCTCTGATGGTTAGAAACCCTCGTCTAATTTCAAACCTAAACTTCCCGACGGTCAGTTTATATCCATTTGTTCTCGTGTCCACATTAGTACTGAGCTGAAATAATTCCTCTCCCTCCCTGGTATTTATCCCTCTGATATATTTAAAGAGAGCAATCATATCCCCCCTCAGCCTTCTTTTGGTTAAGGTAAACAAACCGAGCTCCTCGAGTCTCCTTTCATACAACAGGTTTTCCATTCCTCGGATCATCCTAGTGGCCCTTCTCTGTACCCGTTCTGGTTTGTATTCATCCCTTTTAAACATGGGAGACCAGAACTGCACACAGTACTCCAAATGAGGTCTCACCAGTGCCTTGTATAACGGAACCAGCACCTCCTTATCCCTACTAGAAATACCTCGCCTAATGCATCCCAGGACCGCATAAAACAAACAAAATGAGAATACACTGAGGGAGGGGAAATCCCTTCCTGACCCTGCAGTGGGCTGGCTAGAAACATGTTAACTAGAAGTGAGCCCCAGGGCTGCTGAGCCCTGTGCCTCACCATTACAAGCAACCCCGTCATACAATCACATTCATAAATTTGTCCAGCTCTCTCTTCAAGTTGTTTTGCCCTCCCACCTCCTACTGGGAGGCTGTTCTTGAATCTCACCCCTCTGATGGTTAGAAACATTCTTCACATTTCCAGCCAAAATTTGTTCATGACCTGTTTATACCCATTTGTTCTTGTGCCATCATTGCCTCTTAGCTTTAAATAGCTCTTCACCATCCTTGGTATTTATCCCGGATGTATTTGTATAGAGCAACCATATCCCCTCTGTCTCCTTTTTGCAATACTAAACAAGTCAAGCTCTTCCAATCTCCTGTTAAACTAGTTCCTCTATTCCCTGGATCATCCTAATAGCTCTTCGCTGCACCTGTTCCAGTTTAAATTTATCTTTCTTGAACATGGGTGACCAGACTTGCACACTGTATTCAAAATGAGGTCTTACCAATGCCTTGTAAAATGGCATTAATATTTTTCTCTCTCTCCTGGAAATGACTTGCCTCGCTCTTCCTAGGATCGCCTTTGTCCTTTTCACAGCCTCATCACATAGGTGGTTCATAGTAATCCTGTGATCAACCCACACCCCCTGGTCTCTCTCCTCTGTCATTTCCAGCCCCCAGCTTGTAGAAGAAATTCATATTATTAGACCCTAAATGTATGACTTTGCACTTTATACTATTGAATTTCATCCCATTTCTGTCACTCCCGTCTTCAGATTATTTTGCAGGAAGATCTGGGTAATGTTGATCTTCCTCTGTATTGATGATGCCTCCCAACTTTGTATCATCAGCAAATTTTAATAGCGCCCTCCTAGTTTTTGTGCAAAATCATTAATAAAAAATTGAATAATACTGGTCCCAAGACCAATCCTTGAGGAACTCCAGTAGTAGGTTCCCTCCAGTCTGATAATTCACCTTTCCACACAACCCACTGCCTTCTCCCCTTTAGCCAGTTCTTTACCCACTTTACTTTTCTAGTATTTGGCCCCATCTGCTCAAATTTAACTAATTTCCCATGCAGTATTGTGTCAATTGTTTAATGAACTCCAAGGATATTAGATCAACTACATTTCTATTAACTTTAAAAAATCAGCTCTCTTCTCAAAGAGAGAGAGATTGTGCCAAACTCATCTTTTAACTTTGGTAAACCCTCATTGCATTATGTCCCCCTTTTTGTTTATCCCATTAATTTAATTGTTTCCTTCATAATTTGTTCTAAAGCCTTGCATACGACTGAGGTTTAGACTAACAAGTTTTTAATTGCCCAAATCACTTTCCCTTTCTTAAGTATAGGTTCAACATTAGCTATTCTCCAGTCATATGATATTAATACATCTGAATATACAGCCGTATTAAAAATCCTTATTACCAGACCAGCAATTTCATGTGTTCGTTCTTTCAGTATTCTGGGATGTAAATTATTCCTTTATCCCGATTTGAGTGTATGAAACTCTTACGTTTTTGTTTCACCTCAGATGAAATAAGTTTTTATTTCTAGACACTCATTCCCATGAGCCATGTTGCCTTCCTGCACATGTTCTATATTATCCTTATTGAAAACAGAGGCGATTTATTTATTTAGTTTTTGTGCCATACCTAGATTATCTTTAATCGTCTTCCCATCCACACTGCATAGTGGTCCAACCTCATCCTTCCTTATTCTCTCTCTATTTATTAAACTACTGAACCTCTTGTTATTTATTTTAATTTCCTTGGCGAGATCTATTTCATCTTAACTTTTTGCAGTTCTCATTTTATTCCTACATTTTCTAATCTCCACAATGTAGTTTTCTTTGCTGATCAGCCCCCTTTTCCATTCCCTCTAGGCTCTCTGCTTACTCCTAATAACCTTTTTGCGGAGGTTATTCATCTATCTGTGTATGGAGCCTTTCCCTACAAGTTTTTCCCCCTTGCTTGTGATGCAAATTTCAGATAGTTTTTGCACTCTTGATTTGAAGAAATTCCAAGACTCCTCCACATTTAAGTTCCTGAGCTCTTTAGTGCAGTTGACTTCAACTAATTCCTTTCATTTCCCAAAGTCTGCCCCTTTGAAGTAAAAAAATCATAGTTGATGACCTGGTTTTGATTATCCTTCCATTTAATTTAAACTGAATCAACTCATCATCACTTGATTCAAGATTATTTCCTATGACCTTCTATGATGTCTTCACAACTTAACAAAACCAAGTCTAAAATAAATTACATCATTTCTTGTTGATTCAGTGACAATTTGAAGGAAACTGACATCTATCACTTCCAGGAAGAAATAATTGAAGAATAAATGCTACTAATCTATGTCCAATATGTTAGTCTCCCATTATAACACAATTTCCAATAGTACTGATCTTTCTAATAATATTTGAAGAGATTTTGACCCAAACAGGTTTTCACTGATGTACAACACTATCCTATCAACTTTACCTTTATTCCTATCGGTCCTAAGCAGCACATACCCTTCAGTACCTGTATTCCAGTTATGAGTGCTTTTCACCAGGTTTCTGAAATCCCTGTAATACCTGGTTTGACCTCCTCATGGACTTTAAGGTCAGAAGGGACCATCATCATCATCTAGTCTGACCTCCTGCACTTTGCAGATCACAGAACCTTACCGACCCACTCCTATAATAGACCCCTAATCTCTAGCTGATTTTCTGAAGTCCTCAAATCATGGTTTAAAGACTTCAAGTTACAGAGAAGTCACCATTTACACTAGTTTAAACCTGCAACTGACCTGTGCCCCATGCTGCAGAGGAAGGTGAAAAATCCCCAGGGTCTCTGCCAATCTGACCCAGGGGAAAATTCCTTCCCAACCCCAAATATGGTGATCAGTTAGAGCATGTGGGAAAGACCCTGAGCATGTGGGAAAGACCCTGCCCCAGTAGTTCCAGTTCCTCCATTTAATTTACACTCCTCACATTAGTGTACAAACATTTCCATTGTTTCTCTAGGACCTCACCCAGTTTTCTATCTGGATTAGATATAATCCTTTCACTAACTGTAACAACTACTTGTCTACCACTCCACTCAATATTTGTAATTTTTTCTCTGTGCTGTCAATACTCTTACGTTGTGATGTTTCATTGTCCTTTATTATTTCTTCATTTAGCTGATTTTCTTCCTCCTGTGTATTGAAACCCAGTCGTGGAGATTTCATGAGTCTCTCCCAACCTTCTCCTCTCATCTCCTAGTTAAAAGCCCTTCTTATCTATCATGCCAGCCTTGGTCCCAAAAGTTTAATACTCAAGTGGAGTCCATCAGTTGAGAAGAGTCTCTTCTTTCTGTTAATATCTTCCAATGGTCAATCATCCCAAAACCTTCTTCATAGAACCAATCCTTGAGCCATCTGTTGATTATCATTATCTTGTCATGCCTTCACCCTCCTTCTCTAGGGACCAGAAGAATTCAGCTGAAAATCACCTGAGGTTTCCTCCTCTTTAAGCACCTTACCCAGCTGAGTATACTCATCCTTGAGTCATTCTAGGGGGAATCTAGCAATGTAATTCGTCCCAACATGCAGCACAATCAGTGGACTTATCCATGTTCTCATCAGGAACCTCATCAGCTTCACGTCCACACCTTGTATCCTTGCTCCTGGCAGACCGCATACTCTCCTCTGGATCTGGTCTGGTGAGAGACCTGTTGATTCTTCTGAGTATGGAGTCCCCAACCACATAGACCTGTCTCATCCTGGTGTTGGAATAAATCTGTCTTGTGTTCTGTGTCGCAGTCCCCTATACATCATCCTCACTTTTCCTTAAACTCCAGTTTCCAGTTTTCTCTGTCATCTCTACCTCTCTTCTTCCTTGCCACTGTATCTTCTACCTGTCTCCTCATTCCCTAGTGCAGCAAACCTGTTACCCAACTCAATTTCGTCACCACTAGCTGAATCTCTACCTTGTCCTCATGGTCACATTCTTCCATGGATCACTCTGCTCTTCTTGCAGTCCATCCTCCAGAAACTTTTGTTTGGAAGGTGTCCGCAAATCTTGAGTTGTCTGTACCACCACTCAAGGATGATATACTCTTTTGGGTCACAAATTCTTAAATACACATCATATATCTGGAACAACTCAGTTTGTGTAAAAGACAGTGTAATTTGGCCAATGGGCATGTAAAATACAATATTTTCAAAGTCTGGACTTTTTCTTCATGAACATTTAATAGATTGGAAATATAATTTTTTTGGAGAAAAATAGGTTGCAAAATACTCAATGTCCTATCCATGTGTCAGAAGTAATTACTCTAAGGAGTCAGTACTTCTAGAAAGGAGGAACATGGCCCTGCAGAATGGCCCATTGATATGAGTAGGAGATAAAAAGTGGCGAGAACTCTGAGGGTTCCTGAAAAGCTTTTGAAGTTTCCAAGTTATCTGGTTCAAGGTCCCACAGAACTTGTTTGTTCAGAATTTGTGTTGTTTTTTTATGAAACCCAGCTAAACCACCATGTTTTGCCTTAAAATCAATCTTAGAGGCTAAGTTGGTCACAGTTTTCAATCAAAACAAGGAATTAGTCCAAGAAGCTTAGCTTGGATAGGTCAAAAGGTTCTTAGACCTCCACAAAACCTTTGGTGAAACTGGCCTGACTCTTTCAGGTATGTAACCAAACACCGAAGCAGGTGATACCTAGCTTGTTAAAGATTTCATTAGGAAAGTTTCACCCTGCTCTATAGGAATCATGTAAGGCATATAGAGTTTCACGCCTGCTGTCTTGAAGACTTTGCTACTCCTCAGTGGTCTGCAAAATTCCTGGGTTTATGTATGATGTCTTGTCTTTTATGCCAGACTTATTTTTGGATGCACCCACTGACTTCAGTTTTACTTAGTGATAAGCTTTTTGTGAGGTATTTCTATTAAATGGGTTTTTTTCTCCTTGCTGTCAACAGCATAAAGTGGATAAAGTGATTGAAGAAGCTAAAGCAATCTGCAGCGTTCTCTGTTCTGTGGAAACCAGGGCTATTACTGATGCAGTCAAGAAACTCCATTCAGTGCCACTGGGAAAAACACAGGTAAAGGATGCACTGAAACCTTTACAAGCTGGCCTGAAGTGCTGATGTCCTATTCCCTCTTGGACACAATAACTTAAGTAGGTATCATTCATTTCTTCATTGATCATGATGAAGGGTCAAGGTACTGCCTTGCTACTTATTTTCTCAGAGGTGAATATTAGGAAGAAGCAGCTTAAAAAGAGAAAAGGTTGTGAGCAATGAAACGTATGACTAGAAAGCAATAAAAGGTTGGTCTTGTGGGTAAGGTACTGAACTTGGAAATAGGAGAGATGGATTATGTTCCCAGCTCTGCCATAGACTTCTTGTGTGACCTTGGACAAGTCATGTAGGATTAGGTTAGCGGAGGTGCTGAGCACTCAAAGCTCCATTTTAAGTCAGCATCTGGGGAATGCAGGTACTCTGCACTACTGAAAATCAGACCATTAAGCACTGTGAGTTAGTCATGCTAATGCTTTCTCACATTAATGAAATTTCTACTTCAGCGTTTTAAGAAGTTTAAGTTTTCCTCTGTCTTCCCATAAGTGGTCTCTATCCTGCTGTCCTTACTCACTGACTTGAGTTTTCATGTGGAAGGGACTGCAAGATTGGACCCATTCTTGTTGGTTTGCCCAGATCTTAGTTTCATCCACAATCTATCATTTTATCTCCTGCACAGTACACTCAGTTAAATAATCAAATATCAGAACAAAGTTTTAGCCCATAAATCTTGTGATGTATATAAGAACAATCTTCTTAAGGCAGGGGGGAAAAATGGGTTAGAAGAAGAGTGTGGAGAGATGCTAATCTACCCAAAAAGAATTTATACGAATAGGCCTGCTGTCTGGGTTGTGAATACCATGATGATATTCCAAAGCTGTGATTGGGGAAAGCTAATTTAGTTGTTTTGTAGCATTTCACATAGCATGACAGTGATACATGGCACAGATTTTTATGGCATATTACACACATCCCGTTAGTCATTTAAACCTGTGTTCTTCACACTTTCAAACCCCAATAAAATCATCATTCTCTCCAAGTATTTTTATCTGAGTAAACCTGAGGCTGAGAGGTGAAATGGACTTGCCAAAGGGTACACAGTGAGTTAGTAGAAGAACTGGAATTTGAACTCAGAAAATCTTATTTCCTAGCCCTATGTTCAGTCCTCCTAGACTATGCCATAAGAGTGGATAGCTCAATTTTCTCATAGTAAATCAGACCAATTGGTTTCCTTTAATTTCTTCCCTAGCATTTCTTCTGGTTCATTGTTCGTTGTTGTTAAGTCGTTTATATAGCACTCCGAATATGTTTGGTGCTTCATTGATAAGTGTTTAAATCGCTGTCATGTGGAGCTTCCAATCTAAATGGATCTGTGAAATACCATACATCCTCTGGTGTGGTGTTAATTTAAATACAAATATTCACAAGAATATTCTTCTAGTATTTCAGGTGACAAATGCAGTAGAGAAATAAATAAAAGAAACTACATCCGTTTATGACAAGGCTTATTGACTTTCATCTGTACAGTCCATCTACCATTTCTGGGGACAGAGTTAAAAATCTTCCACATGAACAGAGTATTTTCTTCAGTGCCATGCTCTTAATTAACAGATGGCCGAAGAACCCAGTTCTTTGGGATGGGGAAAAGGCTAATTGTGGGATAAATGTTCCTTTAGAAATGAACTAAAAAGTATAAAAAGGAAGGAGGCTGAGACTGATTCTTTCAAATTGGTACTGCGTTGGGAAATGGATTTCCCCCCAGTCGAAGGGAGATTCCACTTTCCCTTTATTTCATCAGCACCCTTGAACCCAAATCCTAAGAAGCAACCTCCATCCAGTTTCGGTCAGGCTTGCCTAACTTGTCAGATTCAATTTTCAGACATTCCATTTGAAATCAGAGACCGAAATATCCAAATCATGGCCTGCCTTGGACACCTCTAATCAGAAAACTGCATCTTAAATGCAGCAGTGAACTGGGGCGTGGGGGAAGAGCTATGATTGCAGGTCTTCTTACATGAGTCCTAAGTTTCTGTTAGTGAATAAAATCCATTGAGAAAGCTTGGGCTCTGCTTTTCTTCGGGGTCAGTGTTCCAGGTCCTATAAAACTGTAAACTGGATTGTTTGGCGATTCAGCACTTAGGTGAGATAAGCCAAATCATAATCTGATCTGTTCTGTAACGAGAACTCCACATGTTCCTGTAGTGGGTTTCTCTTGCACTCCCAGCACTGGCTCAGTTCATTGCTCTGCCAGAGACATCCTCTGTAATGTTAACCAAGTAACACAGTCTCTCTGTGCCCAAGTTTCCTATACTGAAAATAGGCACAGTAATAATAATAATACTTTTTCTGCCCTGTCTAGTTAAATTGTGAGCTCTTCAGGGCAAGAGCTGCCTCTTATTATTTGCATGCAAAGCACCTATCACAATGGAAACCTGGTCTCAGCTAGGATCTCTAGGTGCCACTGTAAAGCAAGTAATAAATGGTGATGGTGGTGGCCTCGTCTGAACATTAAAAAGAAAGTATCGTGGATTCTTTTCTGATAAAATACTTTCTCCCCAGCCCTGAATAGAACATCTAGATTGATACAAACTTTACAAAGAAGTAGCTTCATGTTGATGAGATTTCTCTTCTATCAACATTTCCTTCGGGCTTGGTTGGCTGACCTAGCTCACTTTCCCTCGAAGCCTTCTTTTGAAGGCTGTCCATGACCTTGAGTGACACCCCCTCCCTCCTTCATGAGATAGAGCTGATTAACAATTGACTTCAAAAAGTCAGCTACCAAATGGTTCCCGTGCCAGCAAATGCCTTTGCTGCTTCTTGTTTCCTACTTTTTTCAGAAACAAGTGCTAGAACAGTTGATTAGACTTGGGCAGCCCCTCAAAAGTTCAGGTTTTCTGCAAAAAAAGCTGCTTCTCATCCAGAGGCAACTGAATTATAAATGTAATAAAAGCAGACAAATATCTTCCTGTATGCATAGAAACTCAAGTTCAACTCAGTTTTCTAGTATAATTTCATATATCTATATCTCTGTATGTATGTATAATATGTATATATGTGCAGTATGGATAAATGATGAGCCAGATCTTCAGGAGGTATAACTTAGCTCATCATATCTATCACTATATTTAGACGTATAGCCTGAATCAGTATTCAGCAGTTTGATATTTGATGATGGGTCAACTCCTCTAGTCCTTATTCAAGCAAAACTCACATTGAAGTCATGAGTAGGAGTTTTGGCCCCATAAAAATACAGTGCAGTGTTTTTTGGCTACTGATGACACATTTTCCCCCCTTGATTCTTAGGGATCTATGGACCACTTACTTATTAAGAACTATTAATTAAGAACTCAATAATAGTGGGGGATTTCAATTATCCCCATATTGACTGGGAACATGTCACCTCAGGACGAAATGCAGAGACAAAATTTCTCGATACTTTAAATGACTGCTTCTTGGAGCAGTTGGTACGGGAACCCACAAGGGGAGAGGCAACTCTCAATTTAGTCCTGGGTAGCGCGCAGGTGCTGGTCCAAGAGGTAACTATAACAGGACCGCTTGGAAATAGTGACCATAATATAATAACATTTAACATCCCTGTGGTGGGAAGAACATCTCAACAACCCAACACTGTGGCGTTCAATTTCAGAAAGAGGAACTATGCAAAAATGAGGGGGTTACTTAAACAGAAATTAAAAGGTACAGTGACTAAAGTGAAATCCCTGCAAGCTGCATGGACGCTTTTCAAAGACACCATAATAAAGGCCCAACTTAAATGTATACCCCAAATTAAAAAACACAGTAAAAGAACTAAAGAGCCACCGTGGCTTAACAACCATGTAAAAGAAGCGGTGAGAGATAAAAAGGCATCTTTTAAAAAGTGGAAGTCAAATCCTAGTGAGGTAAATAGAAAGGAGCATAAACACTGCCAAATTAAGTGTAAAAATGTAATAAGAAAAGCCAAAGAGGAGTTTGAAGAACAGTTAGCCAAAAACTCAAAAGGTAATAACAAAATGTTTTTTAAGTACATCAGAAGCAGGAAGCCTGCTAAACAACCAGTGGGGCCCCTGGATCATCAAGATACAAAAGGAGCGCTTAAAGACGATAAAGACATTGCAGAGAACCTGAATGGATTCTTTGCTTCAGTCTTCACAGCTGAGGATGTTAGGGAGATTCCCAAACCTGAGCCAGCTTTTATAGGTGACAAATCTGAGGAATTGTCACAGATTGAAGTGTCACTAGAGGAGATTTTGGAATTAATTGATAAACTTAACAGTGACAAGTCACCGGGACCAGATGGCATTCACCCAAGAGTTCTGAAAGAACTCAAATGTGAAGTTGTGGAACTATTAGGTATGGTTTGTAACCTGTCCTTTACATTGGCTTCTGTACCCAATGACTGGAAGATAGCTAATGTAACGCCAATATTTAAAAAGGGCTCTAGTGGTGATCCTGGCAATTACAGACCAGTAAGTCTAACATCAGTACCAGGCAAATTAGTTGAAACAATAGTAAAGAATAAAATTGTCAGACACCTAGTAGAAGAACACAAATTGTTGGGCAAAAGTCAACATGGTTTCTGTAAAGGGAAATCGTGTCTTACTAATCTATTAGAGTTCTTTGAAGGGGTCAACAAACATGTGGACAAGGGGGATCCAGTGGACATAGTGTACTTAGATTTCAAGAAAGCCTTTGACAAGGTCCCTCACCAAAGGCTCTTACGTAAATTCAGTTGTCATGGGATAAAAGGGAAGGTCCTTTCATGGATTGAGAACTGGTTAAAAGACAGGGAACAAAGGGTAGGAATAAATGGTAAATTCTCAGAATGGAGAGGGGTAACTAGTGGTGTTCCCCCAAGGGTCAGTCCTAGGACCAATCCTATTCAACTTATTCATAAATGATCCGGAGAAAGGGGTAAAAAGTGAGGTGGCAAAGTTTGCAGATGATACTAAACTGCTCAAGATAGTTAAGACCAAAGCAGACTGTTAAGAACTTTAAAAAGATCTCACAAAACTAAGTGATTGGGC